CTGCCGTTTGCGCAGGATCTCCCGCAGCACCTCCGCTGCCCGTCTCTTGTCCGTGTCTGTGGCGAGCTGTGCCATGTGTAGCTCTTGTTTCGCCGTCAATGTGCGCACTCGGTGCTGAAGGTTGAGTACGGCATCTGAAACAGCATAGGCCTCGTTCCGTGTGGTGTTGTAAAGGTTATAGTCCTGGTTTTCCGCCATAATGCGGCGATCAAGCTGCTGCATCTCCTCTTCCAATATCTGCAGGTTCTTCTTCGTCTGCGTCTCCACCTCCTTCACGTTAAGAAACATTTGGTCCACCTGCTTGCGCCGATCAACATTCAAGTGCGTGAGCTTAGTGGCCTGATCTTTGACGCTATTGGCATCCTGCGATGTACTCTTCTCTACAGCCAAGTTAATATCGGCAAGGGTCCCCTTTAGCTTTGTGATCTCCTCCGTCAAGTTTTTGCCGCGCTGATGCAGCTGCGTAAGCACGGAACTGTTCTTCTCGATAAGACTCTCCTGCTCGTTTAGTTGCTGAATCTCCGTCGTCAGCTCCGTGATCTTCGGCCGCAGCAGGCCAATGTAGTAGCTGCGGTCACCTACCTGGCGCCCCGGCCCCGCATTTCCAGACCGCGTAGCTGCTCGCATGCCCTCCAGCGTCACTGGTGCCTTCGCTGCAATCGCCACTGGCTGTTGCAGGCTCCCACCCACGCCAGCCGCCTGCGTCCCGCGCAACTGCGAGCCGGGCCGCATCTGCGAACCCGGACGCAGGCTTGAGCCTGGCCGCAGGCCACTTGTCTGTCCAAAGCCGGTGGTTCCTCCAAACCCTCCCTGCATGCTTTTGTTATTGATTCAAACGTAATTCTACTTTGTATTCTGTCTTTTTTATTGTGTGTGTTTTTGTGTGTTGTAGGTGTTGGATTTTCGCAGGAATTACAGCGCCTCCGCCTTCTAAATTTTTATTTCGCGGTCCGTATGTTGACCTGGCAAACAGCAAAAATTCCCACGTGCTGCGGTACAAAATACAGGAGAAGCAACAAATGAAATTTATATGTATATATGTATACGAGCAGAGAAAAAAAAAGAAAGGTGATGCAAGAAGATCACTGTAAACATTCAAAAAATGCATGCGCCCCAATATGATTCGCAGCACCGAAGCCATTTGCTTTCGTCATCACAAGCAGTAGCAGCAGCACCACGACTGCTGCTTCTCAGGTAGGATAGAGAAGGCTCTGTGTGCTTGCAATGGATGCATATACCTCGTACACTGGATTTGATGCAACAAGATCAAATTACTCGAAAAGGAGAGAAAAAGATGGTGGCAACGAAGATGATGATGAAAAAAAAAAAAAAAGGAAAAAGAAGAAGAGAAAAGAAAAAAAAAACAGGCTGTGAGCAAAGTATTTATTGTGCATTATATCATCCACTCAACCATCATTTCCCTTTCTTTTTTTCTTTTTTTCCTCCCTTCCTAGGCCCATCGTCCATCTTCTCCTCTTTCGCCTTTATCGTGCTTAAATTAATAATACGTTATCGCGTTATTACGACTTTTTCTCTCACGCATGCACGCGCTCCTTCTAGGCACGCATGTGACTGGGCCTGTCCGTGTTTCTTTGGCTTCATCGCTTGGCCGCAAACTCATGGCAGCCGTCAATTTGCTCTCACCAGTCCAGGTCGTCCAGCCGGCTGCGTTTCTGCTGCTGTTCGTGCTCAACCTCCTCTTCAATGACCAGACGCTGTCGTCGTACCGGCCTTCTTCCGCTAGGGCGTAAGCCAGCTGTCGTTTTGCTTGGCTCTTCCTCCTCGTCCTCGTCTTCCTCGTCCATGACAAATTCCGGGAACTCCTCGTCTTCCTCATCCTCCAGGGCATCAAACTCCGCCCGATCCTCCTCCTGGTCCAGTACACGCTCAAAAGCCTCGCGGCTACAGTTCATAACGCTATCGTAAGTGCCCTTCCGCAGTCGTTCCAGCAGCTCCTTCTCGACCTCCAGCTCTAAGCGTGCCGCGGCCTCTGCCTTCTCCTCGCGGCGCAACAGCTTGTCTTCTTGTCTCTTATTAACAGAGACGTACTCCACTTTGGGCTCTAGCAGCATCTTACGACGACGCATAATGTACTGCTTAAGCCGCAGCAGACGCGCCTTTACCTTATTTACAATTTTCTGGTCCCACCACTGCAACTCCTCATCAACTTGTGCCAAAGCACGTGGAAAACTAGCATCAAGTCGAACCTTTTCCCACTGACGACGTGGTAGGTGGGCACGCTCTGCGGTCTTAATGTACAAAAAAAGCTCGTCTTCATGCTCAATGATCGTTGCATACTGCGCGTTGGAAAGCGGGCAAACACCTCTTTGACACAAACCTGTCACATTATACGGATTGCGGCAGAAGCGCGTCTTCTCATCGTGTGTTTTCACCTTAAATGAGCAGAAGGTCTGTCCCATTATGTTCCACATCGCGTCATCGTGATTCATTTCTTCTGTATACTGTGAGTTCTTGGCTATGTAGATATTTTTTTCGTTTATCCTTCCTTCTTTCGGGATATGCCTCAGGATTTGTGTGGCGGTGTGCTTGCAGCTAATTGGTGCACTTCACCTCCCCTCTCTTCCTGTCGTTTTCCGTCCTATTGTTTGTTGAACAACTTGTTTTGTTTGGGGGGTCCCTCTCTCTCTTTTTTTTTTTCCTCTCCTGCTCTCGTGCTCGACAGTGTGAAGTAAACGACGTGACCTTTGGAAAAGCACAGTAGAAACAAAAAAAAGGGAAGGTGAAAGAAAGAGAATTGAAGGTCAAGGGAGGAAATTCCAAAACAACACACACACACACACACGGAAAAACAACAGCATCAAAACTTTAAAAATTATGCGTGTGGCGTCGTTGTAGCTACACCCCTGTCGACGGTCGTTCACAGTCAATGCCAATGCTCCGCATCAGTGCGTGGTCGCGGCCAATAAAATCACCGATGGCGGAAATGGCGGTTGTGCCGAAAGGGACGTGCAGGGTCCTCAGTTTGATCGCCTCCGTCAAGCAGCGCTCCATGTCCCCAGCAAGAAACAACGTCACGACAAGGGCGCAGCGGTGCTCGTGGCTCTGTGGATCTCGGGCCAGTGCCTCGCGCAGTTTCCTCTGACTGCAGGTTTCACTGCGCCACGTGAAAGGTGCTGCGGTTACTAGTCGATTTGCAGCCCGCACACGCGCAACATCGCTGCCAATCTCCCCGCAAAACGCAACGTAGTCTTTTTCTAAACGCCGCATTTGCACATCCGCATTCTTTCCCTGAACCATTTGTGCCAATGCCACCCACGCCAAGCAAAGAGCGGTGCTTCCGTCGAAATTCTCGTCCCCGTCGCAATGTGGCCTAACCGCGTCAAGGGTGTCGAGCGCACGGTGAAAAAACTTCTCCGCGTAATCCGCCTTGCCTTCCGTCATCAGTCGCTTGCCCACCCCCACCAACCTCGATACATCCACTGATATGCATGCAGCGTCAGCGGTGGTGCGGGGCAACGAAATTGGAAACACCGCAACCTTCCCACCACGCTGATAAGATGACAAGCGCCTGCAGACATTATCCACGTCTTCTATCATTACCTCCACAGGTCCTTTAAGTGTGTCCGCAATGGCCTGTCGATACACCACAGCCAACAGTGGCGTGCCCCTTACTTTTCCCAGCTGTTCCTTCGCCGCCAAAAAGGCGTCGCTACCGCAGTCCCAAAAGTGTAATTGTACTTTTGTGGCGTGCCTCACAGCAGCAGAGCGCACAGCATCCTCCAGAGCCGTTAAATCCGCCGTCGTCACTTCGTCATGATACGCCTCATAACATAGCAGGAGTCGATCGTCGCTATTCGGGGCGAAGAGAGCAAGAAAATCTTCCACGCTACTAACGAAGCCTGAAGAAAATGCGGACGCCGCCATTGCCAACTCTCACGTGAGCAAGCATCCATGTACAAACAAACGAACACACATACACAAGAGTGGGAAAAGAAAGGGGAAGCACGGACGCATAAGAGCCGTTATTCAAAATTAAATCAATAGCAATTCCCCCCTCCCCACACACACAGACAGACAGACACATGCACGAATGCGGTTACGGAAACTTTTGTACAATGGGTAGAGAAAAAATAAAAAGAATTATTAGCCTCTGTACATCATACCTGGTCCGAGTGGTGCGGTATGCACCCACGCAGAATTAGTCACCCGAGATCAGCGGTCTTAAATCCAACCGTTGATACATGACCTCCGGGGAGGTGCGAACACACAACCCAGAGTCGTACAGCACGTAAACTTTGTCCGTATCCATTGTATAAACCCCCTCGCCGTGTGGTAAATCATCACGCCATGTTCCGGAAAATTTACCCCCACCGCGCACTTTGACTTCCCCAATTCCGTGCTTCTTGTCGTCTAGCCAACCTCCAGCGTACACCGTTTCGTCGGAGCGGTACACGCCGTGTCCAGAACGTTTGCCATGACGGAAATCACCAGTATAACTCTGCCTATTTGTAGGACTAATGAACTGTCCTTTCCCATGATACATTCCATTGAGCCACTCACCCTCGTAGGTGGAGCCATCCGCATACTTACACTGCCCACGACCCCGAATAGATCCAAAATACCATCCTCCCTCATACTGCAAAGACGCACTTGTGTATGTCCCAACGCCATGTTTGTCCCCGTGATGCCATTCACCCGTGTACGTGTCGCCATTGAAATAAGTCATAGTCCCACGCCCGTGTTCGCAACCGTTCACCCACTGTCCCTCGTACTTGCCGCCGTTCGGAAAAAAATACGTTCCTGTACCGTCATACACGCCATTCAGCCACTCGCCCTTGTACACATGTCCATCATTGTACACATACTCGCCATACCCCTGCAGACGTCCATCCACAAACTCCCCAGTGTAAATGCCCTCCGGCTCTACCAGTTCCCCACGACCGTGCCATTTGCCGTCCTGCCACTTCCCGCTATAAAAGGTACCAAAATCAGGACTGTGGCATGAACCGGTGCCATTGCGCAGACCAAGAAACCATTCGCCCTCGTACAAGTCATTAGCCGTCACTCGCTTCATATAACCCGTGCCGTGCATACGACTACCTTTCCAATTACCCTCGTATATGTCGCCATTATCAAAGACAATTGTTTGATATCCCTCGGGCCGCAATGTGGTCTGGCGCTCACGGATAACAACAACAAGGCTAGCCAGGAGCTGCTGGGTAATCTCTGACGCCTGTCTGTCGACAAAATCCAACTCTTTTCGCCGCTCGATCTGAGCGCGAAGAAGTTGTTGTCGCGCCTTCTTTTGTTGAATCCTCTCCTCATCTTCAGAGTCGCGCATTTCAAAGGCCAGCCCCGCCTCTCGCTGCATTTCAAGCGACTGGCGGAGAATTTCTGCGCCGTTCGACGGAAACGCAAGTGGATTAAACATCTTTGGCCTTCCCATGGAGACCGACGATGTCGCCGCCCATACATGGTCGGCGGTGGACATCCCAAAATGTCGCCAGCTCAGTCGCCACCGTTGCAAAGAACCACGTCTCTTACTCTACTATAGAAGAAGGGGGGAAAAAAAGACAGAAAACTCGTATTTCCACTCACACCAGCAGCAAGCACACATTTTAGTGACAAGAAAAAAATAAAAAAAAGAGAGAATAATAATAATAATAATAAAACGGCGCAGTAAATGGCATTCCGTAAAATAAAAAGAATTAAAAAGTCAAGGTGTCCCACTCTATTTGTGTCTTCGTTGACATTCGCCTCCTCAGAAAAAAAAAAAAAGAAAGAACTCCCGACAAATCCTCTACTTTCCGCGCATCTGCATCATGACGTTCTTAAACTCGTCGAAAGAGACCTCGCCGTCGCCGTCCTCGTCAGCCTCCGCAATCATCTCCTGCAGCACATCGTCCCCGGGGTTCTCACCCAGCAGCTTGGCCACCTCCTTCAGGTTGGCAAACGATATCTTTCCCTTCTTGTCGAGGTCAAACAGCTGAAACGCCTTCAGTATCTCCTCCGGTGAGTCCTTCTGCGCCATGCGCGACTTCACCACACGCTCAAACTCACCATACCCAATCAGGCCGTTGGAGTCCGTGGACATTGTGCGGATCATACGCTCCACCTCGTCGCGTGGCAAGTCACCAAACCCAAGCCCCTTCATTGCCAAAGCCATCTCTTCCGCGTCAATGGCACCAGAGCCGTCGGCGTCGAAGAGGTTGAACGCCTCACGGATCTGTTCGTCAGTAAGAGCCGCCATCGATATCTGTTTTTGCTTTAATTTTTAAAAAAAAGTCACAAAAAAGGCCAAATAATTTTTTTTTTAAAGAATGTGTAAAGCGTCTTTCTAATCCCCGATCCCTACACGTAGAAGGGCAAATGGTGTGCCACGGCCATTTTATTAGATAGAGAAGTGTAAAAGATGGGAAGGAGAATAAAAATCACTGGCAGTTTTTTCCGTGCAAGCTGAAAAAAGACAGTACGCATTGAAACAGATTACGGTAGTAAAGCAGAAAATTCCATACAGGCAATCTCATCCGTTTCACTTTCTCTTCCCTCCTAAAAGTGCAAAAAGCAGCATCAGACAGAAAAGAAAATTTTGAAAAATTGGTGAAGAACCTTTTCTTGTCTCCAAATCCCTTTAATAATTTGCCTCACGGCCTCGTAATTTGGGCAATAGACAATATATATATAAGAATATTTGGTCGCGGTCTGTACCCGTTTGTGTTTTTATATTAATACAAATCCTCTACTTTCCGCGCATCTGCATCATGACGTTCTTAAACTCGTCGAAAGAGACCTCGCCGTCGCCGTCCTCGTCAGCCTCCGCAATCATCTCCTGCAGCACATCGTCCCCGGGGTTCTCACCCAGCAGCTTGGCCACCTCCTTCAGGTTGGCAAACGATATCTTTCCCTTCTTGTCGAGGTCAAACAGCTGAAACGCCTTCAGTATCTCCTCCGGTGAGTCCTTCTGCGCCATGCGCGACTTCACCACACGCTCAAACTCACCATACCCAATCAGGCCGTTGGAGTCCGTGGACATTGTGCGGATCATACGCTCCACCTCGTCGCGTGGCAAGTCACCAAACCCAAGCCCCTTCATTGCCAAAGCCATCTCTTCCGCGTCAATGGCACCAGAGCCGTCGGCGTCGAAGAGGTTGAACGCCTCACGGATCTGTTCGTCAGTAAGAGCCGCCATCGATATCTGTTTTTGCTTTAATTTTTAAAAAAAAGTCACAAAAAAGGCCAAATAATTTTTTTTTAAAGAATGTGTAAAGCGTCTTTCTAACCCCCGATCCCTACACGTAGAAAAGGAAAAGTAAACGCTATAAGGACGCAAGAAATTCACCATTCAAAGATGTCTTATTATCCAGTAGTAACAATGAATAAGAAAAATGAACTCCTGACTGTACCTTTTTTTCTTACCTTTTTGAGCCGGAATGACTCGCCAACCCACTCAGGCTGGTTCACCAGATTCCACGCAGACTCTTCCTTAGAG